AGGGATGGGGGGGACAGGGACGGGGGTCATGGATGGTAAAGAGGACAGGGATGATGATGATGATGATGATGATGATGATGATGACGATGCTGAGGACAAAGATGGTGCCACAGAGCAGGAGAGCATTCCAGAGGCATGACAGGGACAACGACCGGCCAGGGCCAGCACGGGGACAGTCACCGGGCAGCCTCACCTCGTCCTGCAGGTTGATCTCGGTGGCGCCCTTGTTGAGCTGCTCCTGCAGGCTGGACACCACCGCGTTGTTGCCGGGCACGCGGTAGATGCCCATGTACTCCAGCCCTCGGTCCTCCACCACCTTGCAGCACGCCTCCACGATCAGGGGCACGTTCTGCGGGACAGGGCCGGGCTCAGGCTGTGCTGGGTCCCGCAGGGTCCCCGAGGGCCGGCAGTGACCGCGCGGCCGTACCTTGTTGTCCGGGGCGGGCTGACAATCCTCCAGCCTCACGCCGAAGGCGCGCGGCGCCGATTTCTTGTTCTTCTTCATGATGTTGATGCCCCACGGGGCTTTTTGGGAGCTGCTCTCATCTGGGAGGGAAAAAAAAAACCCCACAGGATCAGTCGGGATCAATGGGAAGCGCGTCCAGCACCGAGGGGACAGAGAGTGCCCCGCTTTGCCACGCCGGTGTCCCACGGACCTTTGGTGACGGCCGCGTCCTGCCGGGGGGACCGGGGCGCGCTGGTTCCCGTCTGCTTCAGGAACTCGGCTCGGATCCCCAGCCCGCGAGGGCCCTTGGGCGAGGAGTCGGGCTTGGAGCCCGCGGGGCTGCGGGGAGAGCAGGGAGGGCTCAGGCGGGGCACAAAAACCTCCCGGAAACGCCTCCAGCAGCGCTGCCCGGTTCCCTGCGGATCCCCGCGGATCCCTGCGGATCCCCCGGAGCACCGAGCTGCTCCGACCCTCGCTAAAAGTGCCGGGCGGGGCCACCCGGGCTGTCCCCGAGCCGCGCCGGGCGGGGGCGGCTCTTCCGTCACGGTGACCGCGGCCCCGGGGCTCTCGGTGCCCGCCACCCCGGTCCGTACCTCACTTTCCGGTAGTCGTTTAACTTCTTGCTGATAAGGGCTTGGCTGGCAAAACCGGGGTCCTGGGGAGGCAGAGAGAAGAGGGGAAGGGACAACTTGAGCAGCGCGTCCGCCAGACAGCCCCGGGCAAGTSCAGGCTGTGCCGAGCGCCGCGCGGGGCCGGCGGTACCGGGCAGGGCAGCACCGGCTCCCGCTGCCCCGGTGTCAGCGGCGCCACTGCCGTCCATCGCTGCGGGCCAGAGCGCTGTCCGAGCCGCTCGCGAGTGTCCCTCCGTGCCACCGACACCTCCATGGACTCGCGCAGCCTCCGCCGCCACCGATCCGCCCGTGCGGGCCGCTGCCGCCAGCGCCGGGCTCCGTCCGCACAGCCCCGCACGGCACGGCACGGCACGGCACGGCACAGCCCCGCACGGCACGGCACGGCAGCACCGGCGCTGCCTCCCCACCGAACCCTCTGCGCCCTCCGGCGAGGGCCGTGCACGGACAGACGGACGGACAGACGGACACCGCTCCGAGCTCACCGCGCCCTCCGGGGCCGGAGCTGACCACGAGCC